GAAACTGCATCTCTCCTGTGCTACAGGTGGGAATGGAAAATGGTACCACCAACTCTAAAGAGTCTGGCAGTTTCTAAAAAGAACTAAATACAAACTTACAATTTGATCCAGCAATTGCACTCCCAGGCATTCATCCTGGGGGGAAAAAAAAGAAAGCTTATGTATACTCAAAAACCTGGGCATGGGTACTTATAGCAGATGTCTTTATAATAGTGAGACACTGGAAACAACCAAAATGTCCTACAAGTGGATGGTTAGGCACACCATGTGCACCCACACATTGAAATAATACTCAGCAATAAAAAGGAAGTATTTATATGTGCAAACACTTGTAAGGATCTCAAAGGCATTGTGTGTGTGTGTGTGTGTGTGTGTGTGTGTGTGTGTGTGTGTGTAATGGTGCTAGGGATTGAAGCCAGGGCCTTGTGCATTCAAGGCAAGCACTCTACCAACTGAGCTATATTCCTAGCCCTCAAAGGCATTTTGAGCAAAGAAAATCAAACTGAACATTTCACATACCATAGGAGACATTTATACAACATCATCAAGATCATGGAGACACAGAATACATCAGCATTTGGCAGAGATCTGGTAGAGTGGAGTGGGCACCTTATCAAGGAGGAGCATAAGGGAGGCCGTTATTATCATGGAATCGTTCTGTGTCTTGATTGTCACAGTGGTCACATGAGCATGCTTATAAGACAAAACTGGAAGCATTGCTACACTCAGCTACAAATAATGTTCATGCAGTCACCATAGTGCAGGCTGTCTCAAATTAAAATACGACCCTATTCTGGGGACACCTGTGTGGCAGGAAGTCAACAGGGACAGAATGTTGTACCCATGTCTTTGGTCATAGGAAGTCATTAAACAATGCCTAAGAGGGGAAAATTAAGAAGTGGCCATCGAAGCATGTGATATGAGATATGAGAGTAAAATCTAAAACAACCAGTTAAAAGAGTTGAAAAATAGCCAGGCACGGTGGTGCATGCCTGTAATTCCAGCAGCTTGGGAGGCTGAGGCAGGAGGATGGAGAGTTCAAAGCCAGCCTCAGCAATAGCGAGGCACTAAGCTGCTCAGTGAGACCCTGTGTCTAAATAAAATACAAAAATAGGGCTGGGGATGTGGGTCAGTGGTCAAGGGTCCCTGAGTTCAATCCCCAGTACCACACCCTTCCCCCACAAAAAAGTTGAAAAGTGTTGCTTTGGGAGGTAGGAAACGGTGGGTGGTTAGGGAGACTCTGCTTTTCAAATGTAGAATTTAAAGGACTATTTGACTCAAACTACATGTACATGGAACTTTGATAAAGGGAAAATGGACTTTAGATCATTAAACTAATGTTATAAGAGTAACATCAAAAGAATATTCACATTAGTAGCACTAGAAAGAGAATTTTGTAATTTGCTGGATAAAAGAATGATGTTCAAAACTCAATGGCAATCCTATTCAGTAGTTAAAACCACTGAAAAAAAGTAACAATAATTTTTTTAAGATTTCATAAACTAGAAAGTGTTAAAAAGAGTACTAATTAAAGATACAAAAACCATTATGGGTGAAAAAATAAAAAATCATAAATTAAAAGTCATCTAAAACTAAATATATACTTGATATATATAAGATCATATATAATAATACATACAATTCACACACACACACACACACACATATATATATATCAATTTTCCCCAAATTAGTATAGAAATTCAATGCAATCAAATCATAATTCTAAGTGTCATGAAACCTGACAACATTATTCTAAAATGCTTTTGGCCTAAGAATAGCCATGAGAAATGTGAACAAGAAAAAGTAGAATGGTTTGCTTAAAAGAGCAAAATTTAAAGCTCTTCTAACACAGTGTAGTGTTGACAGAGATGGACAAGGAGATTCATGGAATTGAGTGCTCATCAAATGAAAGACAGATTTAGAGAAAATTGATATATGGCAAAGGTGGCAGCAGATATATCACAGAGGACTGGAGAATTCGTTCTTGTAGAAAAACGTCAGATCCCTACTGCCTGTGACTAATGTGTGTGCACACACACACATGCACACACCAGAAAAATATGGCTAGATTAAAGACAGTATCAAAAGAGCATAACTTGAGCAAAAACTCTAAAATTTTATTTTGTATAACAAAAAACTCAAATGCTACCAACACTGCGACTTTGTGCACTACACTAGAGGAACGAGAGGGACTCTTACATGTGCCCAAGGGAACAAACATAAGAATGTCTGTACAGACAAGGTTATACCAGTAAAAACATTGACGATAGCTTCAATATCCATTTCAGAAGAATAATCAATGAATTGTGCCTGTTCTGGCAACAGAAAACCACAGATCAGTGGACATTAATAACAGAGTTACATAAATCCACACAATAAATCCACAAACTGGGTTAAGCGTAAAAATGCTGTGTGTGATAGACTAGCATCTACGTAAAACTTAAAACATGCAAAATAACACTGTACATGGCTTAAGGATTTATATGTATGTTGTAAAAATCATAAAATCAGAGAATGAACATCAAATTCAGGAAAAAGTTTTTTCAAAAAAGAAACTAAACAACATAATGGCAAAAAGCTGATATTTTGTGAAGATAATATGGTAGGTCCTGGGATATTTTACATTTCATTTTTATACACTTGAGAACAGATAAATGCTTACTCAACCGACAGTAACTTCAAATTCTGTATGTGTTAAAATCCTACTTTGCAGAAGCCCTGAGTCAAGGTGAAATCTCTGAATATTAAAGGCTGCTCATGATCAAGGGCAGGTGGACATGTGTTTTCTTGGTCAATTGGATCCTCTTGGATGGAGGCAGAGTCAATCTGAAGTCCAGCTCATTAGGACTGAGCCTTTCCCAAGTCCCCTGACCCAAGTCCATCCCTGCCCAGCTCCAAAATTCTGAGGGAAGGAACATCGGAAGGTGTGCAGAGGGAGCATTCTGTGGCGGGGGTGGCAGAGGAAAGAGTGGGGCCTGAGGTCACTTCCAGGTCCTTGGAGCTGCTTCTGTCCATTTGGACTTGTCAGAGAGGGTGGACGGCAATGGACCAAAGAGGATGCAGGAGCTGTTGGTGGAAATCATTAATTCATCTGTTTGCTCATTATGTACTGAATCCACAAATATTTATTGAGCACCTACTATGTGGCAGGTACTCTGCTTGGCTAGAGTTCAGCTGCAGATCAGGAAAAAAGTCCCTACTAACTACATCCCAACCCCTGTCTCTCTCCCATGCCCTCCATCATCGCCACCAGTCAGAACCTTCACATCTCTAGAGTATGTCCTCTGAGTTGATGTACCATCCTTGGAGAAAAGGAGGACAGTAAAACACATATCCCTGCAATGACCCTCTCCGTCCCCAAGAACCCAGCCAAGTGAAGGGAACAATGAGGGTGAGTCTGCTCTGGAAGGTCCAGACACATCACCTAGAGGGTCACTGGCCTCTCTGCTGGATGCTGGGAATTGGGGCAAGTTCCTGTTATCTATACAAAGCTGAGTGGTGGCCGTACAAGGAACAGAGCATGAGAAGCAAACAAGGGATGTCGCTGCCTCTGGAACCTAACTCCTCGACTCCCTCTTGCTGTGGCAACAGGCAGAACTGGGGGCACTGTTGAGAGAACAAGGGCTACTTGTCCAGATGGTACCGGACGAGGTGCTTCAAGAGGCAGCCGTGCTTATCCGTTTCTCTTTTTGTGGGGGACTGGAGGGGAAGGGAATCCAGGGTTGCTCTACCACCAAGCTACATCCCCAGCCCTCTTTATTTTTTTATTTTGAGGCAGGGTTTCTTTAAGCTCTTGAGGCTGGCCTCAACCTTGTGACCCTCTTGCCTCAGCCTCCTGAGTAGCAGAGGTGACAGGTGTGGTGACACTATTTTCTGGTGATGTACCATGTAGGAGAGAGATGATGTTCGCCCAGCCTAGGGCCACCAGGCTTTCTGGAGTAGTGTCATGAGGGACAGAGGTGCTACATGGCAAAGCACTGTAAGGGACAGAGGTGCCATCTGTCTGGCCCATTGCCCCTTGACCTTCCTTCTAGCATGTTTTTTTCAATAAATCTCCTGTGTCACATGCCTTCTCTGGGCGCTTCCTTGGGTCTCTCAGACCCTCCCCCACTGCCCTGACATAACTGGGCCACAGACAGTTGAGCAGATTGTAGCAATATCTGCCTGGTTCATTTCAAAGATACAGCACATGAAAATTGAAATATATCACAGAGTATGGGGGACTCTCTGGAGTTGGGGTCTTGACATTCATTGCACCCCGACACTCTGGACTCCCACCTCCAGGGCCCTAGAACATAACTTGAAAACCTTCCAACTCCAAGGCACTGTACAATGCATGGTTAGTTGGAAGGCTCTGAGAATTCCAAAAGACATTTGGAGAAAACAAGGGAGTTTATGACCTTTTCTTGAGGCTGATCACATCTGTGGACACTCTTGTGGGCACCCTGTGTGACCGATGTGGTTTAGATATGAGGTGTCACCCAAATGCTCATGTGAGAGACGATGCGAGAAGGTTCAGAGGAGAAATGACTGGGTTAGGAGAGCCTTGGTCTAATTAGCGCATTAATCCACTTGAGTGGATTATCTGGGTGATGACCGTAGGCAGGTAGGTGTGGCTGGAGGAGGTGGGTCGCTGGTGGACATGCCTTGGTGTGTATATGAGGTCCCTGGGGTGCTAGGCTTAGTCTCTCTCTGCCTCTTGATTATCAAGTCCTGAGCCCCGTTCCTCCTCCACGCCTCTCTGCCAAGATGTTCTGCCTCCCCTCGGGCCCAGAGCAACCGAGTCCGCCATCTATGGACTGAGACCTCTGAAACCATGAGCCCCAAATAAACTCTTCCTCCTCTGAGATTGCTCTTGTCAAGTCTTTTGGTCACAGCAGTGAAAAAGCTGACTAAAATGGTGACTTTGTACCCTTGCCCTGAATTTCTCTTGCTTGCCCATAACTGTGCCCCTGACCTGTCTCCCTGGGGACTCAGGCCCACCCCAAACTCACCTGTCACAGTTTCCACCGCCTACAGACGTAGGAGACCGTGAAACTCACCAACAGCAGCACCTTGACGCCCAAGAGGAAAGCCACAGAGGTAAGGGTGGACGTGCCTGGACCTAAACGCCACAAAGCAGAAGAAGCCACTGAATGGGGCTTTATGAGTCTGAACATCTCTGAGGTCAGGCAGCCGGGAAGTTCCAGAGCCAGCAAGTTGTACCCAGTTCCTTGTCCCAAACCTGACAGTTTGCTCTCTTGGAAAGGAAAGGTGATTGTGACCTATGGGGCTCGCCTTGGATTTGGCCCAATAAATGCTGATTTGAGTATCTGACATCCACCAGTCAGTGTGCCAGGCTCTCGGGGTACAAATCTAAGTTCAGCGCATGCCATTGAGCCCTTGGGGTCATTTATCATACCATTTGCCATTATCACAGGAAGCTGGTCTCATCGGCAAGATTTCATAGATGAGTGAACTGAGTCTCGGAGATCATTGACTCCCTTGCCTACGTTTACACAGCTGCCATCACTGGAAACCACTTAAAAATAATTCTACCCTAATTCAAGTAGCAATAATAGAAGCCGGCTTTATTGCAGACATTCGTGTAGATTATGCTTATATTAACTTATTTAACCCTTGTAAGGACTCTGAATTAGGATGTTTCCTTAGGCCCTATCTACAGATGAGCAATCTGAGCCCAGAGGCGTCTATATCTGTGCAATGATTAATTGGAAGAGCTGGTTCTGTCATTGGAGCAGACATCATGCAGCGCCCAGGTGAGGTTGTTCAAGCAAGTCTTATAGAACAACGTCCAGCAAGCTCACTTCCATGTCAAATAGACTATTTTAACCAAGCGTCTTGCTGACAGCCAACTCAAAGTCACCAGTAAAAGAGCACTAACTTACACCCTCTCCAGGGTCTTTTGCAAGGTTTTGCTGGAAGACCACTCTCTGCAAAGAAATGAAGGAAACTTTCAGGATGGCCACAGCCAAAGGAAGCCACTGGCTAGAAACCATTCTGATTATTCTAGAAGTCAGATTTCTACTCTGACAAGATCTCAGTAATGATCCAGCTCCATTTCCTCCCAGTGCCTTCTGGAATCCACTCCAGAGACAGAGGTGACCCAGTTGCCGGTAAGAGAAGAGGTGCACTGACCTGGGCTCCCAGAGGGCTCGCGTTTGGGATGGGACGCTGTGGACAGGATGAGGCTGGCCTGGACGGCAGGCTGTTGCTGGTGCTGCACCCTGCAGGTGACCAGCCACTCGGACTTCTGCCTCGACACGTTCACCAAGTGCAAGCTTTCCAAGGTGTAGGAGCCATCGCGGTTCTTCCTGGGCATGGGCTGATCGGTCCCTTTGAGTGCGTGGCAGTGTTCCAGCCAGGTGAGGTGCGTCTCCTGGGGATAGAATCTCTGCACAAGGCAGGTAACAGCCACCAAGCCGGAGGGAGTCGAAGACTGGGTCACTGTCACTGTAGGGGGAACTGACAAAACCCGGAGAGAACAGACAATTACCGTGGGAATTCCTCTGGCAGTTCCCTGGGGGTGGGGTCATTTGCCCAGGAGAAAGTCCTTGGGTGGTACAATTTGAAGGAGCTGAGAGCTTCTGATCCCAAAATATCGTTTCCTCATTCTCGACCTCCAAGATCTATCAAGTTTTATCAGTGATGCTGGGAATGGGTCAGGACTGCCGCAGAGAAGGTCCTGAGTATTGGTAAATGGGTGGGTGCGTGCATAAAGAAATGCATGACGGAATGGGTGAGGGAATGCATATTTGGATGGATGGATGGATGGGGATGGATGGATGGATGGGGATGGATGGATGCATGGAAGAAAGAATAAATGGTATTGGTGAAATCTTTCTTTTCCACATTGGCCATTAAAGATGAAAAGATGAGGTATGAATGTCCCTTAAGAATCTACAAGTCAGTCAACTCACTCTCTATGACTAGACAATCCTAAGATTTGAAGGTTCAGAGCCACTAGACGTCTTTGAGTCCAAGATACTAAGATTGTAATAGGAAGGAAATTCAGTTTGGGAAAGGAACTTGCTCAGGGTTATAGTTGGTGCAGCTGGAATTACACCAGAGAAGGAGTGTTTGACCATTGTGCTATCCTGATACCCAAACTATAACGCAATTAAGATTCTGATAATAGGATCTAATGGCTTCTAGAATTTTTTTCCACCAGATTTTCACCTATGCAACAGAAGGTTTTCACAACAGGGAACCTTAGGCTATTCTGGAATCCAATAAAATATGATCCATCTCAGTAGATTTTGAATGCTCACCCAGCACGATCCAACTGTGACAGGCGGGGTGTTGTGGGTTAGGATCCTTGAGCTGCCACCATAGCCAACATCACCTTGTGTGGTTCATTTTCCTGTGTTTCCAAGACTGAAATTTTGAAATTTCTAACACTCATGGGTCTATTTAAGACGGATGTCAGCGCTTGGTCTAGGGTAGAGAGTAAGTCCTTGGGTGGTATAATTGGAAGGAGCTGGGTGTCTGATCCCAAAATACCGTTTTCTCATTCTCACCCTCCAAGACCTAGCAAGTTCTATCAGTGATGCCGCTAACGGGTCACACAACCAAGGCAAGACCCTGTCCTGAAGCTTACTATCTGTTCTGTGTCCCTATTTGGTGCTCAGGCCCAGCACAGGGACTCTCACCAAGCAAAGAGCAAGACTTGGAAGGGAATCCCAGGACGTGAAGGTCTGGTGGTGTCGGTGGTACCCATGGGGAACAGGCTAGGGTGAGTGTCACCAAGCAACCCATTTCTCCTGGTGGCATGGTGTCCAGGGCATTTGGGGGAGGACAGAGGCCTGGACGCGGGTGAGGACACTGCTCCCGTGTACTGACTGGCTTTGTCTGAGGCAACGTCCGTGGGTGTCCTTATTTAATCCTCACAAAACCAAATGTGGTGGGCGCAGAAGGCCGCTTGATGTCATGAAAAAAGACAAAGAAAAACACACTTAGAAGGAGTCCATGCAAAATCAGGCTCCCATTTCATAGAAATGGTCAAAAAGGAATTGGCTGAGCTTCATCTTGAAAAAAATCACTTAAATTATAAAAATAATTTGTGTTTTAAATAAATATAGAATATCTCTGCAACTATGCACCAACTCTCGAAGGAATAAGAAAGCTGGTATCATGTCTTATCCAAAACTTAAACTAGGGGACCAACCAATCCTTCATTTCAAATTCGCATTCACAGCACCATCATTAAAAGATGATTTTGGAAAATGATTTGGAATGATTCGAGGCTTCTATCAGTTTTCAGAGGGGCCTCTTTTAACCAAAGCGTTCTCTTCTGAAGTGCCCACAGCACCATTATCTTCAGAGACTTTCTTCTCCTTCTTCTTCTTTCATTTATAGCTTTGCCTGTGATCCCAGCACATCTCCGGGATCATTTGCGTCAAATTCTTGAAATACCACTTTTGTAGGATCTCCCAATTCACTGTGCCCTGGAAGTGGACTCTCTTTGTCTGGTACGGTCTGCTGTTGCCACACATCAATCAAGGCAGGGCTCACTTCCTGCAGGAGGGGCTTCCTGGTGGTATGGCGTCCGGGGTGTGGGATCACACAGGTGGTGTCAAGACGCCCACGCTGCACAGCAAACTGGTGACCAGCCCCTCCGACTCACTGAGTCTCATGGCAGGACTCAGTCCACCCACCTCCACAAGCTGCTGGCCTCTGGGTGCAGTTGTATCTCTAGCTCCCAAAACTCCTTCTCATGCCTCTGCCTGGGGTTTCTCTTTAACCAGGAAAAGCCACCTAGCCCACGAAGGCACGTCCCAGGCTCCTCTCCATCACGGGACAGTTCTAGGCACAGACTACACTACCTCTCAGAGGGTCCCCAGGGGCCCTGCCCTCCAGGCACCCACAGGGATATCTAGCCCAGTAACTCACCGTTTCTTGCCTATTCTCCTAACCCATCTCTCTTCCCCACCCTCAGAATCACCTCCCAGCCCTCTGCCCCCAGATCTCAGATTCAGACTCTGCTTTCAGGGAAACCTAAATAAAGACAACCACAGAGATAATGTCCTTGAAACCCAACTCAAGAAAGGGGTGCAGCCACAGCTCATTTTAAAGGAAGCAGTCATTTGGGGACATTTGTATCTTCTGTGATTTTTTTGGTTCTCTGCACAATTGCCCTAGCTCCAGGAGATTATGTAATAAGTACTCAGGTAGGAGAAGCCTCTAAAAGATTTTTTCCTGTTACTCAGCCAAAGACAGCAAAGCTAACAGAACAGCAGGCAAACCCGCAGCTGGTTAGGAGGGCAGAGCCGGAAGCCTGTATTCATGCCAAAGGCTCCTCACTCACCAGCTTGGTAACCTCGGGGCACCCTTGCTTCTTTGTTCCAGCCCAAGAAAATTAGATAAAAAAATTTTAGACCCATATCCAGGTAAGAGTTAGTCATCTAAAGACATCATATTCTAACAAATTTGCAAGTTTGCAAATCCCTTCAAATCTTCTTCCTATAAGGTGATAATAATACAATTAAGTCCCCAGAAGATAAACAGATGTTCTGTCTCCATTCTACACATGAGAGGAGTGGGTTCTGAGTCCAGAGGATGTGTACGTCAGCTGGATGCTGGGTCCTGGCTCGGCTCGCTGCAGGGGGCCTTCCACCTTGTTAGAGGTGGTTAGCATCCTTCCTGCAAGGAGAGACTCCCAATAATTAAAAGCAACACCCATTACTCCTTCTGAGAGGTTCCTGAGAACAAAGCACCCTGTGAAGTACTTTACAGGTGTTTCACAGAAGTTTTGCCACAACCTAGTAAGACCATTCGCCAAAGAAGAAACTGATGCTCAGAGAGGTCCACAGCCCAACTCAGCCCTGACTCAAGTCATCTGGCAAAGATAAAGACTTACTGCGAAGGTACTGGTCCAAGTTGATGGTTTTCTGGAACACCGTTGTCAGCTTGTGCTTGACGTGGCAGAGGACCTC